CGGCTGTTTTTAGGAGGTGATCAGGCTCTGGTTGTCCCACTTTCTGGAGGTCCGCTCCGGTCCCGTTTTCCAGTCGTCCAACCCGGCGAGAACCGGTGCCCCACGTTGGGCGCCAAATGATGTGGAATCAATCAATAAATTGATTATCTTGCGTATCTGCCCCCGGCCAAATTAAGAAGTAATGCGTGCACGCTCCTAAAGTAATTCACACCAGATACAGGTTTCGGGTTAATGAAAAACTTGAGGAATGTTTATTCTAAGGAGACGGCATGTCCCTTATATAGCAAAATTACATCATATGCATTGTCAGAGATAACATGGAATAATACATCAATAATTGGTTAGGTGTTAAGTGGTTCATTTAGTGCTCTTCCTACCGGGTGTGATGTCACTGGTATCTTGGAGGTCTCCCCCAGATTCCAGTCGATGTCAAAGGGAAACTCCCTAGCGGCCGTTTTAGGTAAATCACATAGAAAGTTGAATAATACTGATTATAGTTATACTGAGTAAATAGGCATTTTACCAACATGGATTGGGTTAATATTTTTGTCCACAAAAGTGTGTTCTTTTAATATTTTTATGTTATTTTTATTTTACAGAAAGTGCCAATTTCTCTAGAAATTGGCAGTTTTATAAAATAACCAATCAGACAAACGGCCCTGTTACTTCCTGGTTTGTTTAGCTCAATGGAGCTAAACACAAGAGGCAGCAATTGCCCAGAGCACCTACCTTGCAAAGTCTCATTGAGATGCTTGGGAAGTCTGTGATTGGACAGCCACAGAAAGTCTGAGCTGGATTAGAAGGGGAGGGCTTGCAAAGGCTTCAGATAAGAGAACTGCAGCTTTTGCAAACTGTTTTTAGAGCTACCTGCAAGGAAAACAATTCCCCTCCTAAATGCATGCATGTTTTCATTGTGTTTTCATTATATCTACCAAACAGTGATTTCTTTTTAAAATATATATATTTTGTATTTGAGCAGTGGAGTGTCCCTTTAAGTATAAAGTAACTGTTAATCTCAATCTTAATCTTAATTAAGTGGTCTGGGTGTCCTTGTAACCCTGAAATGCAAAACACTGCAGATTTTAAGAAATAGCCATGTTTAGATTGCAGTTTTAAATCCTCCTCTAGTGGCTGTCATTGTGACATATGCGGCACCTGACAAAGTAAAGCTCAGTCACATGATGATAAAGTCTCCATAGCAAAGCATTGATTCAGTGATTTTTTTTATGGGGTAGCTTAAATGTGCAGGGCACTTCCTGTGCATGCACATCAGGTCCCCAATGCTCCTCTATGAGGCGTATTGGATTGGACATTGGCAAAGGAGGCCATGCATCCTCTGTGACGTTGCAGGAGATGGATAGGTCAGCAGCCCCAGGGTAGCCTCAGCACTGGACAAAGGCGAGTAAAATTATTTATTTTATTATTTTATGAGGCTAACGAGAGGGGGAAGGCTGGTCTTAAATAGGTACAGGGACACGGAAATGTTAGGAATAGAGTTCTGTATTCCTAATATTTTAATATTCCTTTAAATATGTTTTGCAATTCTATCTCTGTAGAATGTATTTTTGGGATTGCCACATTGCAATTATTTTGAAGGATTCTTAGAAATTCTTCATATTTCCCAAATGCCCCTAATTAGGGGGTACTGTCCTTATTTTGGGCTAACATGAATCTGTCCCTCTTTTCTATCCTAAAGTCTTCTTTTTTTTCAAGGAGCTTAGTGTTCTTGCTGTGTCTGAATTAATTTTGGCAATAATACTCACTGTAATGTGTCTACCATAAACCAGTCTGTACAAATTAGATACTGTACATTGTTCCTGTTCTAAATTACATTTTTGTTGCATAAATTGTTATGGCTAAGTACTCTTGTGCACAAATTTGTTTCAGGTGGTACAAACAAATCAAATGCCTTTTAATTTGCTCCCGAACCAAATCAATCCGTCCATGATTTAAATCAATCCGTCCATGATTTAAATCAATCCGTCCATGATTTAACTTTGCAGTCTTATTTAATGGATAATAGCCTGTTCGCTGCAGCCACTCTGCCTCTTCTGTCCTCAGTTGCTAAATCCAATATTTCTCATAGAGAACAGTTAAATCTGATACTTCTCCATCTGGGTTGTCTACTAAAGTGTTAATTGTCATGAATTTCAATGTCTTATTGGGCATTATGGAGAAGGAAACCCCCCTCGACTGCAGTATACCTGTACCTACCTACAAAAAAAGTTTACTTACCTGAGATCCAGAGCCTGTGATTGGACCAATTTGCCGGCTCAAAGTGCATGCGCGCGCTCCGTGCCAGCAAGGGGATCGAAGGGGATGTGAAGAGGAAGAGAGGGTTTCTTACAGTTTTAGAACAGAGGAAGATGGGAGGGAACACCAACTTGGAGGGAAGGGAGAGCTCTCTTCACCTGCACTGGGAAGATTTTTACTTCTTACGGCAGTGTGCTGCAGAATTGACATTGAGCTACTAGTGCTTCTAGCCCCCAACAAACAATTAACAATAACTCAGTATGTGCAGTGTGTTTCAAGCTGAAACACTGCACAAACATAATCCTACTACCTGGACCACTTCAAATCACTTAAGTGCTCATTGTGATTGGAGTAACCCTTTAAGGCCAAAATAGCCAAACTGGAAAAAATGTCCAAGTCAGCTATGTTTCCAGTTCAGCTACTTTGGCTTTAATTTTGAAATTCACATTGGATTCACAACAATTCTCACTTTAGTAGGTAACCTGGTATAAGATGTTAACAGTGTTTGTTGCCATTGTGTTGGACACGATTACTCCAAATATGAAGACCTTCAATTCTTGAAGATCTTCATGGGGAATTGATTCTAGTGGCTGCAAGTCTGATAACCACTAGAGGTGTGTTCTCTAACAGATGTAAACATTATCATTTTAGGAGGTAGTTGTTATGGGGCTTAGAGTGTCTTAATTTAGTTTTACTTTAATGGTTTTAAAAGGCAGGCCCATCATCTAGATCAATAAAAGAATATGCTTACATTAGAAATAAATATATTTTTAACCTTAAAAACTTACTTTAATTTTGCAAAGTGTATTTAATTTCACTACAATTCAGATTTTAGTGAACAACTGTCTGAATTCCTAACATTTTACACTTTAGAGAATAATCCTTGGTTGATGCTATATAAATAAATGGTAATATTAAAGTGACACTCCAGGCACCAAAACAACTTCATCTAAATTAATTTTGTTATGGTGCCAGAAGGCCCCTGGAGGCACTCTTACCTCAAGGGGTTAAACCATTCTCGAACGGTTTAACTCCAATGTTGCCACTAGCGGTATTGTACACTCCCACAGTGGCGGCATCTGGCTTCTGAATTTTCTGACCTTTTCCAAGTCAGGGCTGTGAGAGGGTAGGGGGGGATGAGAGAGGGTAGGGGGACTGAGAGAGGGTAGTGGGGGCTAAAAGGGGATATTGGGGGCTGAGAAAGGGTGGTGGAGGCTGAGAAAGGATAGAGGGGCTGAGAGAGGGTAGGGGGGCTAAGAAAGAGTAGTGGGGGCTGAGAGAGTGGATGTGGGGGTGACAGGTTGTGTGGGGACTCATAAACACCTTTTTTTCCCTTTAACTATTCCCTGGTGGTCCAGTGTCTGGGCCCCTGGTGCTCCGGTGGGCAGGTTCTCTGGTCTGCAGCTCCACCAGACGCAGAGCTGCAGACCACATGGTAGGTCTCGCGATCTCCAAAAGTATGACAGTGTTGCCGTGGTAATCCACGGCAATGCTCTGATACACTGGAGAATGCGAGACAGTTCAGTCTGCAGCTCTGCGCCCGTTGGAGCAGTGCTGGGCGGTTCCCGATCAGCGCAGACTGACTGGAGGGGCCTCGCACCCAGAGGCATAAAGGGCAAGCCGCCAGGCCCCCTCCTGTGTCGGGTCTTCAGTCAGAGATCGAAGACTTGACATGTCACTCTGCCCTAAGGCGATTTTAAGCGGACGCAAGGCCTTAGGTGGCCACCTAAATCGCCTAATTAGAGAGCCGCCTCTGCCCTTGAGGTAAAAGTGCCATCAGGGACATCTTGGCACCATAACAACTTAATTTAGATGAAGTTGTGTTGGTGCCTGAAGTTTTCCTTAAAAGTGGATCAATCACCAAAAACCTACCTTTACCCGTGGCGATTATGCATGCTCAACTTCCTTTGTCAAGTATAATTTTCCCACAGTACTTACTTCCCTGTTGAGTCCGTCCTCTGCAACCTTTACGATCTATATGTCCTTGCCCAAGCAGTTTTATAAAATATCCTTTGTTGCCCCCCGCTCCCCTCCCCATCAGACGAATTGAGGAAGGGGACTGTACCAAATAAAACATGTGACAGACATTTGCAAAATTTGCTTGTATCAGAGCTGCTTTAATTCTTGATTATCAGCTCACAATAAGAGGGCCCCCGAACTATACAGTATTGTAATGTTTCTCGCATTCCTTTGCATATTGCATATCAACCCTTTGCAACTCCATCCAATTTGATTGTTCTGCATACAAAGCATATTGGCATACAATACTTAGGACAACACACTTTTAAAATGAGCTAAAAACCTAAATGTATTTATTTCAATAACCGGTGAATTCTAGTGAATTGATTATCAAATTCCAAAATTCCAAGCTGTGACTTGATTTGGACAACTTTTTCAAATCCGATATCGACCAGTTTGCCATTTGGATTTTGACGCACTACAATTCTGTGTTTAGTGAATAATCTCTTTTTTATTTTCCATTAAAATAAAATTTAAAAAAAAATACAATTTAAATAAAACAGAGATTGGATGTGCCCCAAGATCTCATTACAGACTGAAGCTTCTCTGCCAGTAACATAAACATGTAAACTATATGGCTCCAGATTATAATACATCCTGAAAACACTTTTCTAGAGGGATTTGCTCCTTGCAGTATGAAATAAACAAACTGATCACACATGGGGTGGGGAGACAGGAGGGCCTCCTACATGGAGAGACAGCCTCTGTGACAGCCTGCTGTCGGCCATCTTTACTGAGGGCACACCACTTTTTTTTTAATCAGCACTGCTCTACACCTTGCACTCCTTACAGTTGTTTTGCCTGTTTGTTACGTCTACTCGTTATATTATTAGGCCAGGGCTGCTTGCACTGTAAGAGAAACATCTTGTTGCAGCGGCAGTAGTTTGAAGAGGCAGCCGCCGCCATCTTTGAGAAGGGCGAATGGAGAGCTAAGCAGAGCAGAGCAGTCGGCTGGATGGACGTCTTGACAGTTTAATTTGAGCCCCTGTCCTGCCCCCCCTTCCTCCCCGGTGTTTTTAATTAGCGGTAAGCCGTGTCAGGAGCGCAGCTGGCTCCCCCAGTGGGTGGGGGCATAGTTTGGGGGGTGATATAAAAGCTGGGTGGGGGGTGGGTAAGAAATCTCTCTGGTGACGTTTGTAGCTTACGACCCCCCAGGGGCTCAGGGTATTTTGGTTTGTGCAGTATTGCAGGTAAATACTTTGTGCACCTTCACTCTGGGGAGTGAGCCTTGCACCATCACAGCACTCAGTCTCCCAGCTCTGATCATGTTATTGGGGTGGGTGTCAATCTGCAACATTGTATCAGTGTTTATAGAAGTCTTTTATTCTGTGTGCTTGCATCATGCTTCACATTTGTATGTAGAATTTTAGCTTGTCTGCATTGTTACTCTATATAGTGTATAGCCTATCCCTTGCTTGATTGAGTCTGTACTATACTAGCCTTTCCATTATCTTTAGATGCCCCACTATCTAAAACCTAAACTGACTGGCCCTAGGCTATGTCTCTCTTTAATGCACTCCTAGATTCTAATAGTCTGACTGCCCCTTCCCTTAAAAATTCATTCTCCCTTCCCATACTTAAAAGTTAGCTGCCTTGAGATATTATCTTCAAAAGACTATTTGTTTATGGGGTGAGGGTTTTTTGAAAAACTTTACTGCTTTCTTGCAGTCTGAACTTGACACTCAGCGTATACCTTGCTTGATTGAGTGAGTTTATTTGCACAGCATAGTTGTGTGGGTGTGCTCCTCCATAATTTCTCCTATGTGAATTATAACTGCACACAACTGACTACTCCTAAAGTATCTGTGGTTTTATTCCTAACCACAGTAGTTATCCTGGTGTTTAACTTTGGCAGAATTTTTAATTCTTAATTTGTAGGTATTTCGACTAAAAATCCACTTTAGTAACCGGAATTGTTTGTCATCTAATGGGGTTAATTAAAACCTGTCTCTTTTGGTCCTTCCACAGCCCCTCTGTGCAGTATTAATTTTTGGCAGGAAATTTTAATTTAGTTTTAGTCAGTCCTTTGACTAAAATGCTGTTGTCTTTTAGTCATACGAAATAACACTGGTGTTTAGCATGTATTAACATGTTGTGCAAGGCTGCCACAGTGCTGTACGTGTGCCTTGGGTTTTTTCAGCAGTTGTAAAATGTTATCTTGTGACTATTGGCAAGTCCTCCCTAAGCTATAAAGTCAAATGACCTGTATAGCACTGCAAGCTGGTGATCTAGTTGGTACATACAAAGACTCGAACTCGTGTGTGTGTGTGTGTGTGTGTGTGTGTGTTTTTGTCTTTATAAATCACTACTTTTATAAAACTTGAGTGAAAACCATGACAAAGCCAAACTTGATTTAGACTATATTGGATGTAAAGTTGCAAACTTAATTTCTTTTAGTGTGTGTGGTGGTTTTTTTTTTTTTTTTTTATTTTTTTATTATTATAGGAGGTGAGCATGTGTTTAGCTGGGTCTTGTAACATTAAAGTCTGACTATCAGACACACTAAGGACTCCAGTTTGTTTTGCAGTAACAATCTTGTTCTTGTACCTCACGGTTTCTAGGCAAACGCTTGGTATGTTGGTGTTTGTCTTGCCTTGAACTATCTTGTTTTCCTGCACCGTGACATTCTGGAAACAATATTCTAGGAGTCTGTAGGCATCTTTCAACACTACTAAAGGACCATTGTGCTCCTGTAATCTTAGCCAAGTGACAAAAGGCTTGTCATGTGGTGCCAGCTGCCACAAAGCAGTTCCTGCAAGAATTTTTAAACTGAATAGTTAACTCTTGCTTGTGGGTTTTTTTTTTTTTTGTTTTTTTTATTTTTTTTATAATGGCTAAACTAAAACTCTGTAGGTTTACCCCAAACCTACTGAACTGATTCTGTGCACTACAATTACTCCTTTTTATCCCCAATAGTGCTGGAAGGATCTTTAACCCTTAATATAGTGGTTATGGTACATACAAACTGTAGATGGCCCTTCCTATAAAGCTTTGTTTGTTGAACACTTCTGGCTGCCACCACTATGGGTGCTGACCAATGTTCAGAGTGTATATGCAAAGTGTGACTGCTCCCTATAGATATAGAGGGATAGTGCATATTTATAAAGAGATGCTGATTGGTGCAGAGACTGCTATGCACAGAATCTCATGCTTCTAGATGTAGAAACTTTAGGTTGGCTGGTATAATGCAGCAGAGGCTCGTTATTTTTATCTTGCTTCTAAAAGCAAGAAACTGTGTAGGAAATTAATCACTAAACCAGTAGTGTCTCCGCCTAACTTATAAATGTCAAGGTTCAAACATCCTTCCTTTCATCCCTTTTTAAACCAACTATTTTCCTTTAATGGATAGTATTTCTATGGGGAGGTTAATAGCCCACAATACAAAGTTATTTTTTTCAGATCTACTTTCTATTACAACTTGTATTGCACCAACCAGGGCTTTAAACTTCATGTCCTAAACTAGCTAGGCTTTGCTCCACACTACATGCCAGTGAAAGCGTGGAGGGCCCATAGGATATAAGAGGTAATCACCACTGCTGCTGATCTCGCCACCACTGGTAAGTGGAAACTTTGAGCCCTTGAACCTATACCAAACAGTAGGTAAAACAAGAGAATTCTCCCATGTCTGTATGCGAACAGTAGGTAAACATGGTGCTACCCAAACAAGACTGCATTCAATCTGGTTTAATGATTTGATGTAAATATTGCTCTTAACTGTTTAAGCCATATGTCTAATTCACTTAACAGTAGACCTCTTGGTTGTGTCAGGATCTTGGCCTGGCAGTTGCTTCTGCTGCATTTATAAACCTTTTATCTTATGCAGTTTTGGTGATTGGTAAACAGCCATTAAAAGGGCTCTATAGGCACCTAGACCAATTCTGGGTGCACTGCTCCTGTCCCCTTAGTCCTGTAATGTAACTCATTGCAATCTGAGAAACTGCAATGTTTTTACCTTAGAGCTCAAACTTGGCCTCTAGCAATTAGGGGGCTCTATAGTGTTTGGAATAAAAACCTATAATCCTAACACAATAGATTCCATTTAACCTTGCAATGAAAACTGTCTCAAAATGCCCTCAGTTAGACGAAGATACCTTTTTGTCCCTTAAAGCATTGCACTAAAATGTCCACTAGTCTTGGGCAGTGACAGCTATAGTATCCATCAGTCCTAAAACCTAGAACACATTACCTGCAGCCTATCTCAAATCCATGTGAACAGGTAAATTACAGGCGGTTATTAGTAACCCCCCCAAACTGCCTTTAGAAGCTAAGCTCATCTGCCACATCACAGCAAACCTCTGGGGAGTCCTACTTACACTAACCAAAAGGCACAACCTGAAATTTATTGTTCCTTAATATGACAAATATGGGGTAGTTGGCAGCACTGTAGCATGGCTGTCTAATATAGAAGCAAGCTTTTGGCTTACTGCCAAAGACCATCACTTCCTAATAAGTGCAGTTATTTAGCGAACTAAAATATATTAAATTCCCAACTTGAATAAACCTGGTTGGAATGCCTTAAAATAGTCAGGTCAAAGTTTTAGACTTTCCAGGTCTTTAAACAAATGTGCTCTGTATCACACTAGTATAATCTAACACAAACTGAAAATTGGGATATCCCAATATGTATTTTGTAGATGTATTCTCAATGTAAAGCACAAATATGGAAAAAAGTGTTTAGTCTTATGAAACATACACTGCCTCTTCGTATTTTGTCAAATAACATTTGTGTAACTATTCTACAGGTAATAAAACACCTTACCACCATGACTGATATGACTGACAATCACAGGGAGGCCTGGGAAAATCTGATCACTGCTGCTGACCGCTATCGCAGACAGACTGGAAATGACATTGTGTTTATCACTGCCTACAAACCCAAGTCTGTACCCTCCTATGCATACACTGTTCATGGCAGTGGCATACTATTGGAAGCCACCCAAAGATATCTTGATGACATTGCCGTAGTGCACAAGACCACTGTTTTTACCAGCCCTGTGCCCATTCTTAAAGGCAAGGAACCACCAGTGGCAAAGCAGAACTCTTACTCAAAGAGTTACCCTTCAATTTATGGAAAAGAGGACTTCTCAATTGAGGATAGTAACTTTGTGAGACCAATGCCCACAAATCCAATGCCTGACCAAATGCCAAACGTGGGAGCAAGGGCTGACGAGGACTACAACCATTCAAGCAATCTACTAAAGGCACCGGAGCATGTTCCCAGTGCCTCAACAGGTGAGTGAATGGCTAGGATTTTTTCAAACCTTAAAACACTGACTAGTCACCACTGGCCTGCTAATTCCTAAACTTCCTCATCTGTACCCCAATAACTTCAACACAAAGTCCCTTGATGGTTCTAAGGGACGGTGGCTGTTTAGAAAACGTTGTTCTTGTCTATTGCCTGTATGTCTAATACCAGTGTCGGTTTCAAATAACCTCTTATCCCACCCAGATATAAATCTATTTCCACAATGACTTGTAAGCTAGGTGACTCCCTGGTACAGCTTAAAGGGACACTACTGCCACCAGAACTACTGTTCCAGTAGTCTGTGGTGTGTTTTTTTTAAATATATGTAAACACTGGCTCTGCAAAAGCAAGTAGTTGCATTGCTGGCTTGTAACATTTAGTGGGAGTCAGATGGCTGCTAGAGGTGCTTCCTGGGCCACTGCTGCAGTGCGCAGCACCAAAGTTCAGGGTCTACACACTCTGCATGGAGGCACTGAACAATCATCATAGATGCATTATCAATGAGGAGATGCAGACTGGTGCAGTGTCATGTCACGCAAGTGCAATAGCCCCAATGCCTTGCTATGAGAGAGCATTGGACTGGCAGTCAAGGTTTGATATCTACCAAGGAGGTGGAGCCAGCTGCTCCTCTTTTAAAGGGACACTCCAGTGCCAGGAAACTGTTTTCTTGGCACTGCAGGTCCCCTCTCCCTCCAACCCATCCCATGTTGCTGAAGGGGTGAAAACCCCCTTCAGTGACTTACCCGAGACTCCCGCCAATGTTACTCAGCAGTGGTTTCGGGTCTGCACACGCTCTCCTCCCCCCGCCAACATCATCTGGTGGAGACCTAATGCGCACTGCGGCAATGCCGCAAGCGCATTCGACCTCTCCATAGGCAGACATTGAAAATGCTTTCCTATGGGGAATAGAGCGACACTGAAGGTCCTCACATAGCATGAGGACGTCCAGCGACGCTCTAGCACAGAACCAGGAAGTGCCCTCTAGTGGCTCTTGTAGACAGCCACTAGAGGAGGAGTTAACCCTGCAATGTAACTATTGCAGTCTATGAAAACTGCAATAATTACAGCTGCAGGGCTAAGGGTAGTGGGAGTTGGCACCCAGACCACTCCAATGGGCAGAAGTGGTCTGGGTGCCTGGGGTGTCCCTTTAACCAGGGATCTAAACAGCTGTTTCTAAACTTAGTGTCAGCAATACATGTCTATTCCTGACACTCTAGTGTTCCTCTAACTAAATGTATGTGGCACCAGAAAAGAACTCTGCAGACACGACAGGTTTCATCGAAGTATGGCAAGATGTACCTAGGACTGGTAGAAATTTGTCACCAAAAGAGTCAACCGTCTAGGTCAGGTACATCAAGGTATGCCACATGGCTTGAACCTTGACATAAACGACTGTCTTCCTGCTTCTAAAAATCTTACCCTAAGCTATCTGCAGTCTTCTGTCATGGCTTATGTGAGCTTATCTTTGGGGGAAAAACTGATGGCTTCTCAGATCTAGAGATTGTCATCTGGCTAAACTTCTTGAAACCATTCCCAGTGGCTAAAGGGGTTCTTACACGAACCCATCTTGGAGATTAAGGATACTTGGATATAGTCATTAGAATTATAGATTAGTTACACACAATTGCCCCAGACCCCAAAGTCTTGGGTAATGAGTCATCTCTTCAACCAAGATATGATCTTGTACGGGCAGAAATGGAGTGTCACTTCCAAACTATTTTAGATATAAAACCTGAACATGCAGGGGTTACTCTCATAGCAAACAATGTGTCCCTAAATGCTGAAACAAACTTTAGGGAACTAGATTACCCATGAGTAAAGCAGTGCCATGCAAGGTAAGTACACACTGAACATGGGTAAAATAGTCTGTCAATACCTAAAGTAAGGTAATGTTAACATAGGAGGCACATATAGTCCCTTGGAATCAGTGATTTCAGTGTGTCCACACAAACTCTGCTTTAGAGACTTCACATTGTGGCTCTGCCACTAGCAAACTAAACTCCTCTCTAACTGTGTAGGCTAGCTATGCTGGCTGGGTGTCTTGCTCATATTCCCCTGTACTTTAACACCACAAACATTCAGCGGTATTAAAGTTGGAGTTCAAAGATTATTTTACATTTGGGTAGCTGAACGAAGGCTCACTGACTTGAACTTCAGCTTGACTACCTTGGCCTTAAATCTGAAACTCCTTTAGCATTCTAACTGAATAACCATGAGTTTTTATGATCCAATGAAGCTGTATAGCCTGTTCAGTCTTGGTGTACTGAGAGTAGTTGTACTTCCTGTGGCAAGCTGACTCCCTAAACTGGTTAATGTAAGATTAAGTCTAAAATGAAAACATTGCTTTATCTCACAGCAGTTCTGACTATATTGACATAATTTTAGGCATGATCTCCAACTCTCTGCCTTTTTACGCTCAACTAGTCTCTACCCTAGGAACAAACTGATCAGTAGTGTACCCCAATCCTACACCCTTCATTAGTGTAGTTTGAGACCACTAGCCATCTGCTACTGCTTTAACTTGGCTTGAGCCCCTAGTGCTGCTGGCAAGGATCTGCTTTAAATGGATTTCTGCAGTTTGTGGTTGACCACCCCAAATATCTTAGATTTAGAACAGTGCTGACAGGCTGTTTTCTCCCCTAACAGAACCAGGCATCACAATCTGTCCAGTTAGAATCTGGTTCCTTCCAGCAAATTTGAGGATATAAACTAGATATATTTGCATAAATAAAAATCTGATCAGCTCGGAATTCCTAGTGATATCAAACTTATATCAGTTTCTTTTAAGTGTATGAAGTTGGGCTAGAATGGCTAATTTACTTTAAATTCAGTGAATAAAGCCATAGTTTCTTGTGTTACATTCTTACAACCGAGCAAGCCACTCTTTAGAAGGCTTCACCTCTGGTATCAAGTCTTCAAATTACAGCCAAATAAATGCAATAACTCCGCTAGTCTTTCAAACAGAACATGCAGCATTCTTAACTTGCTTCCTTTTATTTAGGAAATGCAGAGAAATGAAGGTGAATTAAATTTTGTGCTTAATCTTGCTATCAGTATCCTGTGACTGCAACCAGCAAGTCTCCTCTGCCAATAGTCACTGTTTATGACTAGCATGGTGTCCTGCCATAAGTAACATGGGCTAGGTGGCTATTTTGGCACTGCCAGCTTGGTCAGGCACACGTTAAACGAAAGTGGAACGCTCTCGTCTGAGATTTCCATGGAAATCTACTTGGGATTTCACTCATTACATAGGGAACATGCAGGGGGGTAGTCTTCTAATACTCCCTAAAATATGCATGTGATCATTAAAACAAGATTAACATATCCTTGCTTTACCAGTCACCATCAGCTGCTCCTAATTGGTTGTTACAACAGAATTAATTTACTTGTATAAACCCTTGTTCAGTATGTAGATACCACTCTGACTTTTCTGCTCCATTCATAAAGTTCTTAACACTTCTCCAGGCATCCTATGGTTGTTACAACAGGGCAGTCGGGTAGATGGCAATGGAGAAGCTTGGGAGTCTTTTTTTTTTTTCATAATTGGGCCAAAGTCAATGAATTGTATAACAGCTATACTATTCTGATATCTGCTTTCAGACATGACTCTGGAGGTCTTGCACAGGTCTACTAACATTTCAAAAATACAGGACTCATGCATTTGTAAACGGTACAGAAGTTCTGCCACTGTAAAGCATTCAGTGACTGTTTACTAGAGAGCACCTCCAACAGTATCAGCTGGCTACCCTGAACGTGATGTGTATCATTTGACTAATGGGCTACCTACTGAAACTAACCCCAGAGGGAAAACTAGACCATTATTTTCCTGCACATCATTCAATGTACCTCTAGTACACTAGATGGCAGTCGAAGCCTTACAAATATGTTGCGTCAGTTATTTAAAGTGGTTTTTGATCTAGAACTTAAATCTTTTATTGCAGGACTTTTTATGATGGATGAAGACTCAAACAGCCAAGACTGTGAACCATTCTTTGAATCTGACCCAGAGAGCCAAGAAGGTAACCTTCCCTTTTGGTTTATGATATTAATCGTAGGTATCTCGCAGCATGTCAGGCTATTTCTCTGATTGAAAACCCTCGATCATCTCAAGATAATTGAGATTCTTGCTCTTCCTGATTTGTGGGGAAAACAGCAAACTATCTGACCTGGCATAGCCAGTTAAATCCTAACCTCAGTTGATCCTGAATACTGGCCTCTAAGCTTATTTCTTCGTCTTGAAGCACAACCAGCTTGAAGACTTGAGGCATGTTTAAAGGGACACTATAGTCACCCAGACAACTTCAGTTCAATGAAGTGGTCTGGGTGTCGGGTCCCTCTGGGGTTAACCCTGCCTAAACAAAAACATTAAGTTTCTCTGAAACTGCTGTTAACATCTGGGGTTAAGCAAGCCTCTAGTGGCTGTCTTCCTGACAGCTGCTAGAGGCGCATCAGCAATGACTGAGGCTTATGCCTCAATCATGCTGAGCGTCCATAGGAAAGCATTGAAGAAATGCTTTCCTACGGACACTTTGAATGCGTGCAGCAGTGTTGCGCATTCTGCACCGGTGACATCAGACCAGGATGCTGGCGGGGAAGGAGAGGTAAGGGAACCCAGCGGGGGAAAGGGTGAGTAGCTGAAGGGGTTTTAACCGCTTCAGCACCATGGGAGGGGGACCATGAGCGTGGGGTCACCCTCGGAACTGTAGTGCTTTTCCTGACCCTATAGTGTCCCTTTAAAATACCCACTTGTAGAATGTGGGGTTTAATTATGTAACACAGGGGTTCTCAACCCAGTCCTCAGGACTCCCTACCAGTCCAGGATTTGGGGATTACCTGTGTGTCTCAGGTGTTTAGAAAAAGGGGGGAAAAAAAAACACCTTAGACTCTAAGTTTTATATATTTTTTTTTTTTTTTTCATTTTCTAAACACCTTAGACACACCCAGGTAATCCCTAAACTCTGGACTGGTAGGTGGTCCTGAGGACTAACGTTGAGAACCCCTGATGTAACAGAATGGGGGAAAAAAAATCAAACTTGGCCTAAAATGGCCAAGCTGAGTATTGCAGGGTTAGAACATTTCTAATCTGTCAATCACATAACTATTAAAACTCACTGACTACCAAAATGCCATGTGTTAAACTTGTTGCTGTGTTCACAGATGGGAGCCTGACTGAGGACCCGGGGCCTTTCCAGCGCAATGTTCAGCAGTATGCAAAATCTCTCCCGGTCACTGTGCCTGTCTGGGGATTTAAAGAAAAGCATAATGAAAACAAATCTTCTGATGAGGAAAGCGGCAGGGTGAGTTTCGAGTGAAGGTTAACCCTGCCAGACGAATTCCAGTAAAGTCTAGCCAATCTTGGATAACAGTAACAACAAAGCCCAACTATCAAATGACCCATCAAGTTTCTAATAACGTATCTGCTATAAAATGCTGTCAATGAGTGCTTCAGTTCTGTATAAGTTTGGCTGCTGGCTTAAATAAACTTCAAGGGTGCATATCATACAGATTCTGTTCTATGTTTAACAAGTTTGAAAAGAGCGCTTATTTCCATGTGGGTTTCCAGGGAATCACAACAGTGGTGCTCTACATACAGCTGTATGAGGGCAGCAAGTGTGTACTAAGCAGTGACTGCTGATCACAAATACTCTGCAGTGTAACTGTTTTATGTTACTCTAATTCCTGAGCCCCAAATTTGAGCACTTACTTATTTGCCTCCTTAACTTACTTAATGGGTCAGCTATATGGTTAATAGTTACCAAACCACTAAATATACTTAAACCAGCAGACCTATTAAATAGTGTCCTTAAAACACCAATCTAATAACAAAAAAGGGTGAGTAGGAATGCAAAACATGAAGTGATCACTTCTAAGGTGTAAATAGAAATATACAACCTTATAGTATAATAACGTGATAGACAATATCTACAGAAAAAAATATAAATTGCACATAGTGTGATAAAAGTATAAATATGAAGACACACAGGATGAATGTATCAAACTCACAAAATATCAATGAATATCAGGCCCAGCATCCTTAGTCAGAGAAGATCTTCAAACCGTATAGAAGGAGTCTTCAGTAATTATAAAATAGAAAAAACAGATAATAGTGCAGATGGTAAATAAAACTTCAAAGATTTATTATACAATGCACTTATAAAAAGGTCCAGGTAAAACCGCATATAACACTACAAGGTGGTGAAGAAAATAAACAAGCAAGTCCCCAGTGTGTTAATCCTGACTAAGGATGACGGGCCTGATATCATTGATATTTTGTGAGTGATACATTCATCCTGTGTCTTCATATTTATACTTTTATCACACTATGTGCAATTTATATATTTTTTTTTTCTCTAGATATCTGGTTAATGCCAGCACTAAATGCTAAATTTGAATGACCAAACAATATTGAACTGGAATTTTTTTTTTTTTTTTGTCTAGCTTGTATAAACATCTAATTCTTCAAAATGTTAATGTTCCACTAAAACTTGTCTCCATCTACCAGCTCCCTTCTCCAGACCTTGACCGTATTGCCGCAAGCATGCGTGCGCTGGCTCATGACAATACGCAGCCATTCGGGGACCTTCCTCGCCCTCGACTGAACACCGGTGACTTTCACGTTAACTACCGGAAGTATTAAATCACTGGTAGTCAATGCTGCCCACTGATTTGAACACTAAAAGTTCCTCTGGCTGAAATTGGATCCACTGAAGCTGCCCATCTGCAACTGGAAGGGTCTCATTCTACTGTGGTTTAAATGCCTTTTTAGAGCCTTTTTTAATTTTATCCCCTGTCATTGCATCAGGCTTTGACAAAATTCCCCTCAATTGATTATGTACAATTTCTTACCCTTTTTTAATTCGACCTCAATAAAAGAGGAATTCATATCTCTGTTTAATGTCTTCATTATTCTAGCAAAACACTAGCTATCTGACATCTCTATTTCAAGGCAAAGTTTAATGCAGTGTTGAAAGCTGCAGATAAACTCTAACTTGGTCATCAGACTTATTTTCTACTAAAACTTTGCGTACTAGGCAATTCTTTGGATTACAAATTCCATCTGTCAAAGAAAACCTAACTTGTTACAAAAACTCTTTTAATCCTTGGTGCAGGTGCCACATGCATGGTAGAACTTTTTTTTTTTTTTTTTTTTTTTTGTGGCTTTAAAATGTATTTATATGTCAAAACTTTATAAAGTGGAATGGCACCCATAGCCTCTCCAAACCATAGCAACACTAAATCAAAGTTATGGTGATCAAGTATTAAACAGAACCAGTACATTTGTATAACAAAATTGTAGAAATATAGAATTGCCAAAACTGGATAATTATTTTTAGAAAGAACAATCTGGCTTTAAGGTACCATGATCTCTGTAGGCTGGAAAGTCCACTCACCTCATGGTCAAATGGGCAACCTATAACCTCTATCGGCATAATGAGATCACTGCTGGCAACCTGGATGTCTTGAGTGAATGCTGGGCTTCATGAGTCATGACTTGAAGAGGTCATGGTGCCTAGTCTGTCTGCAGTCTGAGTCTTCGTGTGCAATTGAACATTTTAAGACTTTGTAGCTCCACCTCATCAGTAGGGCATCATTGGCCAGACTAAAACATAGGTAGCCATTCATTAACAGTCCTTTTTGGCTTAAAGGGGGCAATCTCATCTGTAATATCACTTCACGAACTTGGCTTAACACTAAAACTAAAACAGATTTAAAGAAACACTCCAATTTGGCAGTAAAGTCCTTGCTGATATGTCTAATCAGATGCTTCTCGTAGACTGCTTTGGGTCATGTGCTATAGCTGTATATTGATGCTGAGAAGCTCTCACTTCACCTTTTTATTCTATTGTCTGAGAACTGGAGGTTTACATGTGGAGGAACTCTACTAAATGCTTTGCCAATCTCATGGCCTTTTTTTTTAATAATTTTTTTTTCTCACTGGCACAAGACATGATTATCTGCTCAATGTGTAAAGCTATTCGTTACAACAAAGGTTCCACAGTGGCTTAGTCCAAATTGAAAAGGCATATTGAAGCCAGTAATGCAGTAAAGTAGACTATGGCAAGGTTAATCAGTGTATGAGTAAACTGCATAACCTACTTTATACGAACCAGAGTTGAGATGTTTGGAAACAGATTCCGTGTGTATACACTATTAAACCTCTTCTCTCCCCCACCCCACATAGAAACTCAGAGTATGAGGCCCTACCACTACTTAAAGAATCTGTCACCATAAAGTTACCTTGCTTCAATATAACCTTCTCTCCCTCAACTATCTGGACCTTCAATATTTTTTCCTGAAATACATAATGCAAAGTCTACTCTGCAATCTTGACAAGTTGTCACTTCACAAGCATACAGTACTGAGGTGGACTCATGGTAGATGAAGCACCAGGAGCTGAAGAGCAAATAGGGCAGTGGTCATCTACCCTCTTCTGTAACCATGGAACACTGCATACCACATAACTGCCACCATTCTTTGCACACTTTTCCTAAAACAGACCCTAAAAGGTGACAGCTGCTTTAAGTGGGTGAATTAAAATCCAAGTTAATGGCCTGCAAATATTTCAGCACTAATCAGTGTCTGATCTTTATTTGTGATTGAGGACAGTAGTCAGATTCTCAAGAATCTACATAAGTTGCAAAGACTTCTTTTACATTCTGGTGTAATACTTAAATTGCGCAAATCAACATTTTACTTGTGCAGTTCTTATCAAATGATCTGGTCAGCAGTTTGAAGAATTGGTCATTAAACCTCACGGTATTGCAACATCTATGCTGCTGTGTGCAAATGTTGCATTCCAAAACACATTCTATATAAAGAGCCAAATGAAATGTTGAATTGTTTATATTAAACTGGAATGAGATTGTTGCCTCTTTTGATGGCAAGTTCTCTAGCTTCATATGTATGACTTTATGTACACATGGTGAACTACAGTTTCTCAACTTACCTCTAGGGGGTGGTACTGTTGTAACAATGTTTTGAGTCTGAAAAGTGCTGATCTAGCTGGGCAAGTTGCTGCTTATCTCTTGTAAAATATTGCACCATTTTTCAAGTTAAAATTTTCCGCTCCAGTCAACGGACTTAAGTTTGCACTGTTCTAGAATGTCATTTAAAGGTTCAATCCTGATTCAAATCAGTAAAAAAAATAAACTCCAGACCCTTAAGCGCTTCAGCTTGCAAAGTTCTTTTTGTGCAGTCTGCCCCCTCCTGCATTTTAAAAATCTAAGTCATTTTTATACATCTTAAAAAAAAAAATAAAGTATTAGAGCGCTTTAAATGTCCAACTAAATGGGTACAATTTTAGTGCAGCTGCAACCACTAACTTCTATGCATTTTATTGGTAAAGTTAGCATAATATAGTGTATGTATACGGTTTTTGAAAAATAAGTAGCACAAGTGCATTATATTAATACTTAAACATCCAATACAAAAATCAGTTTTCCAAATGATTTTGAAGATATGTAAAATCAAATAACACTTGAAAGTGTGTAATATCTGCGCAATATTAGATTCCTCTTTTAAAATTCCAAAAACAAATACTCACAAATTGCAGAGCCATTTCAAACCGGCTCTGGGTATATCAACTTAAAATGTGAGGGCTGGCGTCACTTCACTTCTATTTCATGTATGGAGCGAGTCAGAGGAAGCCCACATGATTGGGCATAATATGTGACTATTATGGAGGTGGACCCAAAATGTTCAACACGCAAGGATCACAGATTCAGTGGAAATCTGTCGACTTTTGGCATATTAAGTGAGCAGTTTGAGCTGAGAATTTACAACTTGAATGTTACCACACATGGAATAGAATTGAAGTGACACATCCTTCAGACATAACCCCCCATATGTCTTTCTGTTGATTTAAATGAGGCCTAAGAGTGACTGTGCCTATGTGCTTTAGGGCTTTGCTAAAGGTGAACCCATTCTGTGCCCCGTGCCCCAGGTTGTGGATCTTTGTTTGCCATAAATGTAATGTTTGCAGCATAGTTGTTTCCATTTTTGCACAGCTCGTTCAAATATATTTCTAGCAGTAGGCATAGCTTGCACAGTAATACCTGAACACCATGTGACGCATATTCTTACAATGTTGTAATGCATTTAGGTTGTAAATAAAGTGCATACATAGGGCTGGGATCTGTATGCATACCTCTTACTTCAAAATGTTATCATCATGGTTTCAGCGGATGGGACCAGACTGATCTGATCAGAGTATGCTTAGAAATCTATAATACTAAATTATAGAACTGAATTACATTGTAAAATGCAGCCAATATATTACAGGGCAACATTACAAATATAAAATGTACTATATAGAATGTAAATATTTGTTTTCTCTTTGACCTAAAGCTGAAGTTACTGAAGGGCAGCACGTTTATTTTTGTACACCGTAATTTTCAGGCTTGTGGGGTTAGTCTGTCCTTTGTCTGCATGTAGAACATTTCTACGGATGAGTCTGATGGTTATTATTCTTTCCAAAGTCTGACAACACTGAATGATTGATCGGTTGTTTGTGCAAAAACAGTTCATTATTAAGGAGGACAAAAATTGTATGGCAACCAAACTGTGCAAGGAAACAGACTTGACTTTACAGACGGTAACTATGCACTTAAACAGAGCTCTAGGTTTAAGGAATAAGGTAGCTGGATCTTGAAAATAATCGTTTGAAGCGACTGTCATTTATGAGTATTGGATAAAGATGTAATTTTTCATATGGACTGTTAGAATTTCATTGAAATTTCAATGCAATCCAAAGATACATGTATCTATGAGACACATAAATGGAGGGTCTGGGGGAGAAATGAGACACATGGAGAGTCTGGGGGAGATGAAACATTGGGGGGAGAAATGAGACACATGGAATGGAGGGGCTGTGGGCAGGGCTGGCGCAACAGTTAGGTGAACTAGGCATTCGCCTATGGTGCCAGCCTACAGGGGGCGCCCACCGGGATGTTTCCTGGTGGGCTGCCCTGTCTTGGGCCGTAGCGCTGATCGAGTGGCTCTTGAGCCCCCTCAGTGTCCAGAGAAGCCCTGTCACAGGGGTCCCAGGAGGTGGCCAGCTCAGGGCACCCCCAAAACTGTCCTTCAGTATGGCAGAGCAGACACCTGCTTACCTTAATGGCAGGTGCCTGCTCTTCCAATGAATTCCAGAGGAGAGGAGGAAGGCGGTAGTGTGGGCGGCGAGGGAGGCTATTCTTGCAGATTTCCACTCCTCCCTCGCGTGCCCTCTGTGATGCTGGGAGCCGGAATATGATGTCATTCCGGCCCCTGCATACTAAACAGTGCGCTGGAGGAGTGAGAAGCTACCCCACACTGGACCCCAGGGAGGTAGGAAGGCTGGATAGGCCCCCCAAAAAAACTTAAATTGTGTGCGTGTGTGTCAGTGAGTGAGTGTATATCTGTTTGTGTTTGTTTCTGTCAGTGACTGAGTATGTGTCTGTAAGTGAGTGTGTGTGTCTGTCAGTGTGTGTTTTCATCTATGCTAGTCTTATTATAAATTAAGTTCACCAAATGCATTGAATAAATTATTTATCACCGATAAATTATGTATTCAATGTACAATGTATGTGTTAGGCAGTATATGTGTATGGATGTAGGTATTAGGCAGTGTAGGTATGGATGTAGGTATTAGGCAGTGTGTGTATGGATGTAGATATTAAGCCGTATGGATGTAGGTAATAAGCAGTGTGTAAAAGCAACAATAGAAAAGGCTGCGCCACATAAAATGTTAAAAACAGAATAAAAGAAAACAAAGTCCAAATAAAAAGAAGTCCAACTTGTATGTCCTAACGAATAGTCTTTTAAGGAGGCTGTTACAGTGGTAGGGTCTTCAGATATAGTAGTGGTTCCATTTATATAGAAGATAAAAGAGAGGGACAAAAGACTTTTTCAAATGGAATAACATAACCATTTGAAAAAGTATTTTGACGAAACGCGTTATGGAAATTTTATATTGTGTATTTTTGTATTAAAAGTATATTTGGTCATTTGTTTGTGCCAATTATCTTTTTTACACACAACTTTTTATTAATTTTTGACCATGGCTTTTTATCATTTTATTTAATTTTTTATCCTTTTGGTTTTAAAACTGTTTGGAAGCTTACTGCACCCCAAGAAATCCTAGGTGGTGATAAATCCACTTATGCTGATATCATAGAGCAGTCCGTCTGCTCTCTATTTAACTGGACACCATTGACGGAGAGGTACCCACTACATATCCCATAAGCGGGGATTATACCGCTGTACGCGCCTTACCCTAGAGCTGGATATAAGCTCTTGTAAATGTGAGTTCTCTACCATTATTTTCTATCACGTCCATATTTGAGCTATACATATTGCACTATTGGTTGTCCCTCTCTTTTATCTTCTATATAAGTGGAACCACTACTATATCTGAAGACCCTACCACTGTACCAGCCTCCTTAAAAGGACATACAAGTTGGACTTCTTTTTATTTGGACTTTGTTTTCTTTTATTCTGTTTTTAATATTTTATGTGACGCAGCCTTTTCTATTGTTGCTTTTACTTGTCTTGTTTTAAATGGTTTTGAGGGATTCCCCTTTAAGGGTTGATGCCTATCAGTCGACCAGCGCTGTCTCATCCATTTACCATTACTATTAAGCAGTGTGTGTATGGATGTAGGTATTAAGCAGTATGTGTGTATGGATGTAGGTATTAGGCAGTGTGTGTATAGATGTAGGTATTAAGCAGTATGTGTGTATTAGGCAGACCTAACTGGAAACCATATGACAAAATTTAGGCCAAAATAGCTGATCGAATTCTCCAATTCAGCTACAGTCACAGTTCAGCTGTTTTTACTTAAACTTTGCAGTTTGGTTTTCAACTTACTGCAATTCAGAGTTTAGGAAATAAACCTCTGTGAGATTTTATTTGCTTTCATGATTGCGCAGCAAAATGGATCTTTGCCTGGGACGGCAGAAATCCTTGCACCAGCCCTGGCTGTGGGGGATACAAAGATACATAGAGAAGGCTGGGGGAGAAAAAGACGAGCGGGGAAAAGAGACACACAGAGGGCTTGGAACATGCAGACGGCCTGTAGGGTGGAAAAAGACACAGATGGACTGGGGAAGGGTCGAAAGAGACAGACAGGGGCTGGGAAGGGGTAAAAGAGAAAGACATTGGCTGGGGTGCAGACACCCAGAGGTGCTATAGGGGACAAAGAGACACAAATAGGCAGTGGGGATAAAGAGACATGGTGCTTGGAGAAGTGATACGCAGAGGGGCTGAAAGGAGAAAGAGACATAAAGGGGATGGGTAAGGGGAGAAAGAAATACACAAAAGGGGCTAGGGGAAGAGGCACACAGAAAGGCTGGGGAAGAGAAAAAAGAGACACACAAAGGGGCAGAGATAGAAGGAGACACACAAATGGGCTGGGGAAAACAGAAACACAAAGGGGCTGGAGGGAAGTAAGAGGCACACAAAAGGAAAAAATGTCCCAGTGCTACATTACAATTAAAGGTACTCTAGCTCTTAATTAAAAGAAAAGAAAACAATAACATTATAGTATATTAAGGGTGCGTAATGTCATCTCACTGTTGTAGAATCATTTAGAATCAGTTGACCTTCAGTCTTGTGGTCGCTTGTAATTTCAAACACCATATGGTTTGCAGTAACTGCATAGTGCAAGTTATCATATAACACCGCCTGTAAGAGCAGAGCAGACTTTGCCAGATGTCAGTAAAGGCTTTGAGTCCCAATCAGTGATGGGAAACCTCAGCACACCAGATGTTTGTGAACTACATTCCCCTTGATGCTTTGCCAGCCACAAATATCAGAACAAAGAGCTCAGTGCTTTAAAAAAATGTTTTTAAAAATCACACTCTCTTTGTTTTTATAAACTCTGTGCTGGCGTGTAGCCATAGCAACCCAGTTTCTTTTGTGTTTTTTGTAAAACCAGAGTTTGTCCCGTCAGTGTCATCCTTGGAGGAGAGGAATGTATCCGGTTACCTGTACATAGCTTCCATGTCATGGTTGCAGGTACATTATACATGTATTGCTAATGCTAAAGTGTTATGCTAACTACATAGATCATCGAGTCATCTTTAATTAAGGAAATTAACACTTTTTCTCACCTATTTTCCTCCAGCGAACCGATCTAAACATAGGGAGGTTAGTGTATATGTATGGCAATTGCCGCACTGGGCCAGTCAGCATCTCCTCATTAGATATGCATTGAGTCAATGCATCTTTTGGGGGGCGTTCAGCGTCTCCAGTCGAAGCTTGTAGACACCTAACATCGATGACCTAATCAAGGAAGTCCCTTTAGTAGCTGTCGGAGCTGTCAGAGTGACAGCTACTGAAGGTGGCATTAAGCAGCAATGTAAACACTTCTAAACTGCTCAGATTGCAGGAACACATTAAGCTGTAGTGGTTCTGGTGCCTAGGGTGTCTCTTTAATACATCTTAAAGGAACACTTTATATTTATTTCCCGGGAGTGCTGGCCTTGTGCGGAGGTTCGTGTGTTCCGCTCAGATCCCCGTGTGTGTGTGTTACGGGTTATGTGTGTTTTTGTCCAGGAAGCCTTCCCATGGTTGCCACACATTGATAAATGAGGCAGTGGTATTACGCACCTGCGCTGTCAGTTTGTCCATAAGGAAGTTGTCCTTCATTTTATTTATTACTTTGTGCAAGGGGGGGATGTCTGTATTGAACCATTGTTGGGCTAGAGCCTGTCTGGCCGCTAGTGTCATTTTATTTACTAATTTCTGTTCTCGTGTCGTGAGGCCATCTAGCGGCTTGGCTAAGAGATATGTCCACGAGTCCCTATGTATATAGGACTTCCGTCATTAGTTTTTCTATTTCTTTCCAGATGTATGTCACCCTTGCGCCGCATCCCCTCCAGCATATA